TTTACCATTTTTGTCCGTTTCAAAACAATAGTCTTATTTCCATAAATAATCATATCACCATAAAACTACACATATTTTTTATTTTTATTACACAATTGTCACTACTTTTTACACTAATACACTCACAATGGCAAAAAAGTCTTTTATCAATATTTTTTATCCACTACCAATATAATATTAATATTTTTTAAATTTTATGTCCAACTCAATTAAGACTATATTTATGGGACGGAAGGAGTATATTCTTTCTAAAATAAATAATTAGGCAGAGTTGTTGTTATCATTTGGTTACTTTCAAATTTAACACTTGAACCAATTAGACAAAAAAAATATTTGTGAATTGTGACTGAAATTATTGGGCACCAATAATCACCAAATTATAATGATCAAAGTTGAAGAATTAAAAATTAAATAAATTTAAAACATTCATCAAAATTAAGTAACTTGATTTGCAAAATTAAGGAGGACAATTGTGGTTTAATGTCTCTTGTCAAATTAAGAGGTGACATTTAACCACATATGATTTGCTTGCTTAACATTTTTTTTTTTTTTTTAAGTGAAATTATTTGAGTTGTTATTATAATTTTAATGAAAAAATAGTGTTGGATATTGTATATATAGTGTTGAAAAAAATATACTCCCTTCGTCCCATAATTATAGTCTTGGTTGTGTTGGACACGAGATTTAAGGAATATTCACATTATATTGATAGTGGGTAAAAACTATAGGTAAAAGACTTTTTTGCCCTTATGAATGTATTAGTGTAAAAAGTAGTGGCAATTGTGTAATAATACTGAAAAAGTAATGACATTTTTATAGTGATATAGTTATTTATGGAAATAAAACTATTGTTTTGGGACGGACATAAATAGTAAATAGGACTATTGTATTGGGACGGAGGGAGTATATTTTTAATTATAAATGATAAAGAATGCATACCATATAAAAATCCGTGTAAAAAATAAATAAGCTTATTTTTCGAGAACAGAAAAAAAATTTAGAAGAAAAATAATAATTAGTGTCATTTACTTGCCATAAAAATATTTTTGGTCTCATTTTGAGTGTATTTGGTTGTAGATTTTGATTTTGATTTTGAAGAGTAGAGTTTTGAATCGAAATAGTTATTTGATATGGTATACACTAATGTATAAATAGATATTGATGTAATATTTTAAATATAAAATTAAAATTTAATATAATATAATATAAAAAATAAAATAAATATTTAATTCGATAGTTTTTAGAAAATTATGTTTTGGAAATCGTAAAAAACTCCAAAACCCTCCGAATTGGATTTATTTGGTTGTGGTTTAAAATTAACTTAAAATAAAATTTTATTTTTTTATTTTTTATTTTGAAATAATTTGATATAATATTTTTTGTTAATAATTATTTACATTTCTACGTTGACAAATTTATTCTCACGCCACCGAATCATTATTTACAAAACAATATATATATATATATTAATATATATTTTATCTCGTAAAATATTACATACTTTGTCCCTCCAAGTATATATTTATCTTTTTAGCGGACTCAGTAATAATAATAGGGTTTTAGTTACCAGCAGTTTGTGTTATGATTTTAATTTTTTTTTTATTTAAAATTATAAAAGAACTATATTTTTTTTAAAAAAATAAAGTGAAAATATTTTGATATTTATATATAATTATTTTTATTATAATTAAAAATAAATACTTGAAACAAATTAAAATAATAAAAAATACTCCCTCCATTTCATAACTAGGTATTCATTCATTTGTTTTTTACGTAGTTTTAAAAATATTAGTATTATATTGAGATATAATAGGAATAAAGTAGAAATGACTAAAATAACCTTATTAGTATTGTGTGATATAAAGATATTGATATTTGTGTAATATATTGTAAATTGTAAAGGTATTTGTAATGTTAGGTAGATAGTACGATTACTAAAAAAAATAAATATTTTTTTATGAAACGGACAAAAATAAAAAATAAAAATTTTATTATGGACCTTGAAAGTATATTGAATTAAAACACTTTTTTTAAAAAAAATAATAATAATAATAACAAAAAAAATAGCAGAGAGCACAAACATCAGATGCCTTAAAAAGAATCAATAATGTCATTCCCCTTATGGAATGTAATAATAGTTTGGGGGTTACGTTTTTTAATTTCCGTATTTATCAGGGACAACAAATTAATTATTTTATTTATTATTATTAATTAATGAATTCGCGTTCAACTAATTTATTTAAATTTAATCTTTAATATCGCAGTTAATTCAAATGACAGTCTACCTTTGGTTTGACCTTGGAAATTAAATTTTATATTCCTCCGTCCCTTAATAATTTTTTTATTTTTTTATTTTGGTCTGTTTATAATAAATTATATATATATTTTTTTAGTAATTATACTATCTATCTAATATTACAAATATCTTTATAATTTACAATATATTACACAAATGTCATTACCTTTATATCATACAATATTAATAGGGTTAATTTAGTCTTTTTACTTTTATTTATACTTTATCAAAAAAATACTAATATTTCTAAAATTTAGTATAAAAAACAAATAGATATATAGATATGAGACGAAGGGAATATTACTCTTTCCAAAATTCCTAACGAAAAATTATATTTCCAAAATTATACTCCATCCGTCCTATATAATTTGTTCATATTTTTTACTCCTTCTATCCCACGTATTATGTCCACGTTGTCGTTTCTATCCGTCCCACATTCCATGTCACTTTCCTTTTTTGGAAATTGATTACACACTTTTAATCTCATTTTAAACTTTTTAATTTATTTTTTTAATTTTAATTAAACTAATTAGTTATCTTAATCTTAATTTATAATTATTTATATTATAGGATAATTATTTTCATTAATACATTCTTAATTATTTACTAATTACACCCCTCCTAAAATACCGTGTCTACAGTGTCGCAGACACGGTATGTGGGACGGAGGGAGTATTTTCGTTCGTCCCCCATTATTTGTCTTTTTCTTTTTTGAAAACTTTAATCACATTTTAAATTTTAAATTTTATACTCCTTCCGTCCCATTGAAAGGTTATCATTTTCTATTTTCGTCTGTTCCAAAACAATGTTACAATTTCCTAATTTAGTAACTGTACTACCTATCTAACATAATAAATACTTTTTCAACTTACAATATATTACACAAATGTTATTACTTTTATATTACACCATTCTATAAGGGTATTTTCGTCATTATCACTACAATCCAATATAATACTAATTTAAAAAGTCTACGTGCAAAAAACAAATGTCACCCATCCAATGGGACGGAGGGAGTAATTTTTTTTAATATTAATTGAACTACTTAGTTATTTTAATTTTAATTTATAATTTTTTTACTTTATAATAATTATTTTTACTAATATATTTTTAATTATTTATTAATTATACTTTATATAAATTATCGTATCTACTGTAATAGACTTATATTATATGGGACGAATAGAATATTTTTCACCTATTACTTATGTAAAAAATAATATATATCTTTTATACAAAATATTTTGGTTCATATTTTAAACTAATATCAATATTATTTAGTTTCCACATTTTAAAGAGAAATATATAATATTTTTTACAAGAATATTAAGTCAAAATATTTTCTAAACTTAAAATTAAATAAATATTTAGATTCAAATCAAAATCAAACAAATCCTAAAATTTTTAATAAAATACATATATTATAAATATACTTTAAAAATTAGGAGTCTTAAATTTCAAAGTAGTTCATTTGGTTTGTAATTTCAATTGTTTTCTAAATTATGTAATTACTATCATTTTCAATAATACTACATTATTTCTTATTATAAATATTACATCAAAATATTATTTAAATTAATAAAATAAAAATTTCAAACATAATTCAAACAAACCAATTAAATTGTAGTTGTTAGATTCCAAAAAATTGGTTGGATAAACACATTATTTAATACTTTCTCGACTCAAAATATTATTCGTTCCGTCATACTTAATTTGTTCATTATTTTTATTTTCGTCAGTGTCATATAATTTGCCATTTTCTTTTGTTAAAATATAATTATATATTTTAATCACATTTTAAAATTCATAATTTATATTTGTTATTTTAATTAAAATATTTAGTTATCTTAATCTTAATCTATATTATTTTTATTAAATCATAATTATTTTCACTGATACTCTTCTAATTAATTACTAATTATACAATATCTAAAACTCTCTGCCAAAACTAAATGAGACAAAATAGCTGAGAAAGAGGGAATATATATATATTTTTTTTATCATTTTTGTCTATTGTATTTAAAAGTACCTATTTTTATTTTTTATTAAAATTAATTATACATTAATATCAAAATATTTTTTAAAAAAATTTAAATTATCAATTTATCATTAGTCATATAATTAATTTATACATAAAATAAAAAAATATTAAATTTTATTATACTTTTCTACTCACTAATACTCCCTGTGTCCCGACAAATTTGACTCATTTAGATTAGACACAAAATTTTAAGTATTGTGTAATTAGTTGGTAATTAAAAGTGTATTAGTAAAGATAATTATGATTTAATAAAAATAATTTTAAATTACAATTAAAATAACTAAATAATTTAATTAAAAAAATTATAAATTATGAATTTTAAAATATGATTAAAATGTATAATTATATTTAAAAAATAAAAAATTAAATAAAATAGACTAAAATAAAAATAGTGAACAAATTAAATAGGACATAAACGCTAAAACATTACAATTATTTTTTATTACTTTGGACGGCTACAGTAATAATCCCAAACAAACTAAGTGGGGGATAAATATGTCATTTCACTCATAAGTTTAATATTCGCGTAAAATAAGCCACAGAAGCTTCCGCACGAATTACTTTTATTTTTATTTTATTTTTTTCATATCCAGAATTAATAAATAAATAAAATATATTAAAAAAATATATAGTGGAGGCTTTCTTTCACAGTGGAGAGTGGACAGTCCCCTCATTCGCAGGGAACACAATTACCCACACGGCAGCAGCAGATGAACGGACAGAGGAGAGGAGATGGACCGGAATTTATGGCGTCAGATCTGTTTTTGGATTCCGATGACTCAGTTTTCGGTGTGACCTGCTAACAGTGTGGATAATTTGCTGCGTTTTGGGTCGGCATTGCTCCGATGAGTTGGTTTGGAATTCTGTGAGTTTTGTACCGTTTTTTGGCTTGGAGATTTTGGTTTAGGGGGTGTTTGAGGGGAAAAGTTTGATATCGGAGCGAGCTTTGTCGGAGTGGAGCTCCGGTCGGTGTGGGGATGAAATTGCGGCTGAAGGTGGAGTGGTAATTATGTTCAACCGAGCGCGATGGTGGAGCGAGAAGAACAGAATCAAAGTTGTTTTCAAGTTGCAGTTTCATGCGTCTCGGGTATGAGAATTTGAGTTTTATTTGGTTTTAATGGAACAAGGATTGTTATGTTTGTGTTTGAATGAAATGTGGTTTGATTCACAATTTAATTGCATTTTCCGTAGTGGTGATTTCGATTAGTGAATTTTGTGGTTATATTGCTCAATCTTCTGATTTGATGCAAATTTGCGTTTGAATCGCGTTTAATGTGAAAACTACTATGAACATATGGCATTTGGAGTACAGGCAATGGATTTTGTTGGTATAATTTAGTGAGATGATATTTTCTGTAAATGCAGTTGGCTCAGAGTGGAGAGGATGGATTGATCATATCAGTTGTTCCTGCTGATGCTGGAAAGCCCATTGTTAGATCGGACAAGGCGTCAGTAAGAGATGGAAGCTGTCTCTGGGAGAATCCAGTTTTCGAGACCGTGAAATTCAATCAGGATCCAAAATCTAGGAAGATTCACGGGAAGATATACTACTTTGTTGTAGGGACGGTATGAATTCTTGCAGAGCAATAGAAGTTTATGTCATTGCTCTGTTGCCACATGACCAACTGTTTTGTTGCTTTCCAGGGCTCATCCAAAGCTGGAAATGTCGGGGAAGCTGCCATTGATTTTTCGTGCTATGCCGAAGCGACGAAAGTTTCACTGGTGTCTCTTCCCCTCAAGAACTCCAAATCAGAAGCTGTACTGAATGTAAGTGCCTCAATGTGATCAAGAGGGGGTAAATGATTCTTTTGTCTCTGTCTGATGCAACGTCGATGATTGTTTGATGATTCTTTGATCGTTGAACTGATAGTTGTGAAGCCTGTTAGGTTAATTTACAGATTCCTAGGTGTCTTGGTTTGTGTAGGATGATGGCTGATTTAAGAATACATTTTAACAGGTATCGATCCAGAGGATAAATGATACTGCTACAGAAAACAGGTGCCGATGAATTCTAGGTTCATGCATTATTTTCTATTTTCTTTACGTACACATCTCTACAAATGTTGGCTTTTTTTCTCAGGGAGATTAAAGAAAGTGAGATCCACAGGTCACATTTTGGCATTGCTGAAAAAGCAATCGGCAGAAGAAATTCTGTAGAGGTAGTATCCTGTCCCGGCCGGGCTTTATCATGTTTACAATTTACAGCATTTTATAATGTCACAAGAAAAATGTACCTTACAGATAACTTGTATATTTATATATATGTATATCCGACATAGGGACATTAGGATCATCCGGGATTATGCGTGGGGAAGTAATGACCTCTGAACTCCTTTGTATTAGCAGGTTACACCCATTGACAATACCATTGTCGGCATGTCTAAACAGAACGTGAATCGTGTGGCATCTTGTGGGTCTGACATTACGACGTCAAGTTCAGAAAGCAGCTCTGGGATTGGGGAGCCACATATGAAGAGTGACAACACCCAACGGGAGATGAAATGTGATGCACCTACACCAGTATCGGAACAGGACCAGACATCTTGGGAGTGGGTTGGGAATTCGACTGGTGAAGGCAGCACTGATGACTCTTCGAGCACTCCAAGAGAAACCTTTCTGAAGCATCCATCTAAGGAGGATCCCGGTTTTGTGTCCGAGAAGTTGAAATCTGATCTTGTTGCCTTATCCCGGCAAGCAGAGAAATCCGAATTGGAATTGCAGGCTCTCCGAAGGCAGATTGTTAAAGAGAACAAAAGAGGGCAAGAACTTTGGAAAGAAATTGTCTGTTTGAAAGAAGAGAGGGATGGTTTGAAGAGAGAGTGTGAGCAATTCAAAGTTTTCCAGAGAAATACAGATGAATCGAAAACAAAGAACAATCTGCTGTTCGATGGACTGGAGTCTCAGTCAATGGTTAGCGAGCTCAGGCAAGAACTAGATCATGCGAACGAACTGAACGCCAACCTTAGAATTCAGCTTCAAAAGACACAAGATTCGAATTCTGAACTAATCCTTGCCGTACGAGATCTTGAAGAGATGTTGCAGAAAAAATGTGAAATCCCGAACCAATTGAGCTCAAACAAAGCATTGGCGGAAGGAAGGGGCACCGTATGTCGATCAGACGACGATGACGATGAAGAACAAAAGGCGCTCGAAGAGCTAGTGAAGGACCATAGTGATGCCAAGGAAGCAAATCTTTTCGAGCAGCAGATTATGGACATGCACAGCGAAATCGAAATCTACAGAAGGGATAAAGATGAAATACAGATGCAATTGGAGCAGCTAGCACTTGACTACGAAATTGTGAGGCAGGAAAATCACGACCTTTTACATCGGCTGGAACAGTGCCAAATTCAGGAAAAACTTGCTGTTGCACACGAGCTCGAAACTCAGATAGAAAACCTTGAGAACGAGCTGGAAAGACGATCAAAAGAATATGCGGATTCGCTGCACACAATAAAGGAACTCAAAGCACACGCCGTAAGCTTAGAGGAAGAACTTGACAAGCAGGCGCAAGGATTCGAAGCCGACTTAGAAGTTCTTACTCGGGCTAAGGTCGAACAGGAGCATCGAGCAATAATAGCTGAAGAAACTTTAAAAAAGTTGCAGGTGAAAAATGCAGAAACAGCCGATCGGCTTCAGGAGGAATTGAGAAGGCTTTCGAGTCAGATGACATCGTCGTTTGAAGCCAACGAGAAACTGAATTCAAAAATTCTTGTTGAAGCAAATAAGCTTCAATCACAGAAAAGCCATCTCGAGGAAATGCTTCGAAGAACTTCTGGAGAACATCAATCAGTCAAGGCTGAATACGAAGCTAGAATCGATCGACTTGCAAATCAGGCGACTATAATGACGAATAAAATAGAAGAGATGAAGTTAGAAATTGTGGACAAGACAGTGCTGCTTGATTATCATAAAAGACATGCCGAAGAAACTCTGAGGGTCTTGTCGGAGAAGAATTTAACGTTCAAAGAGGAGATCGACGCGCACAAAGCTAAGAACAAATTTCTCTTAGACGAGAGGGAGACTTTGGTGCAGGAGCTGGAGCAGATGAGAAAGCTAAACAAAAGTATTGAACTGAAAAATCGGGCTGTCATGATTCGCGATGAGGTTGATGAGGCAAATAAGGACTTGAATAAATTGAGATTTCAGGTGAAAGAAAAAGAGTCGATCATCGCTGATCTACAGTCAGAAATAGATTTTCTTCAAGCACAAATTACAGAGCTGAAGCGATCATTATTAATGAGCGAACTTGACAAAGAAAAATTAAGGAAGCAGTTCCCTCAATCGGCAAGTGATCCGAGTAAAAGAGGCGATACATACAAAAATGCAGATAAGAAAATAGCGAAAGGAGCTTCGAGAAATAGTAAGCCTCTTCCTCACGGACCCAAAGAGATCGCAAATCTGAAGGAACGGATAAAATGGCTAGAGGTAAGAAATGCTCGACTGAAGAGTTCTTTATTTACATGTCCATTGCTTATAGACTGCATTGTTGATTTTGGTCGATGGTGTTTTCGGATATTCGACAGGTTCAGATAAGGTTGAAGGAGACTGCTCTTGAAATGTCGGTGAACTCATTTACGGAAAAGGAGAATGATCTTCGTCGTAAAATTTTGGAGCTAGAGGCAAAACTTGAAACAATTGATCAAAGCAACGGACATTTTTGTTCGAATGAAGCCGGAGAAGATGTTAGTGAAATCCATTCAGTTCATCTCATGAAGAAAGTTTCGATAATAATTTGAACCTCGAATTTTACAAGTTACTCGATTTCCTATCATTGCTAAGCTATGGATCTTTTTCTTGCAGATACATAACAAGAACGAATTTGCTGCCTTATTGCCGAGGAGGTATGCTTTTAGCAACACCTTATTACGTTCATCGTATATATTTTATTTAGATATAAGGAAGCCTGAGTATATATATTGTGTGTGTATATTATACTCTCTCTCCGCCGTCTGATAAAATTATGTAAATTTAGTTGGACATATAGATTAAGAAAAAATGGTATTTTTAATAGTAAAGTGTGGCAGATAAAAAGTAAGATGGTGATATTATTGAAAATTTATTAAAGAATTGGAATAAGTAGAAAAAATAGTACTCCCTCCATTCAATCCCAATGGGCTCGGGATTTTGTAATAGATTAAAAAATAATAATATTTTATTGTATAGTAGAAGTTTATAAGATATTTTGACATTTTTGTTCCTTTGACTTTATAAATAAAGTAATTATATATGTAATGATATATTTGTAATTTAAATAAAAATTAAAAGTATTTTGGTATTAGTGTAGGAGTACTTTTTCTAAAGTAGAAAACTGTACTCTTGAGTGAGAAACAAAAAATGATAAAAATAGTAGAGTTAAGACGGAGGGAGTATCAAATTGGTTATTATTTGCTAAAGCAAATGTATTAAAATAGTGAGTAGATAAAGTTTTTTATTATAAATAGATTATGCATAAACGATAAAAAATGAATAGTTACATAATTTTGGCTGACGAAAGGAGTATCTAGTCATAATATTAAATTTTGTTGGGTGAACATACCAAAAATATCGGATCCCAAACTAATATTTCATTGTTCTTTTATTGCAGCAACGATGACAACAAACTCATCGACAAATTGAAAACCGAAATTGCAATATTTAAGGAGAGGGATGCATTGATGGTAGTCGAACTTAGGGACATGCACGAAAGGTATTCGGAGATTAGCCTAAGGTTCGCCGAGGTGGAGGGCGAAAGACAACAACTTGTAATAAAACTACGCAACCTTGCAAACTCGAACAAGAGCCTGTAACATGGTACATTACAACTAAGGTAAGCATTATATATATATATTATCGCACTTTGATAGTTTATTATTAGTATTGGTAAGGTTTGTGCATTGTGGTATTCGATATCAATAAATGGATTGTACATTTTCTCGACAAGCATTCTTTTGTTTTGTTTCCCGTTACTATATTCTCTTCATTTTTTTCGGGTTGATTTTGTTATTTCAAGGTGTTACGCCCGATTGATGATCGATCGATGATTTTTTTTTGTAATAAGTTTGTAAATGTTATGGTCTATGATGATACATTTTTGTTGTTTTAGATTTTTGGATTGATGTTCCTGTGAGTGAAGGAATTTTAAAGGGGGGTGGTTTGATCGAGTGTTTTTTATGTCCCATAAATATTATTAAAAAATAATAATAAAGGTAGTATATATACTATCTCTGTTCGGGTCTATCATTTATGTTTTGCGTGTTTGATATTTGAATATTAATTATTATACTAAAACGTAATAGAAATTAAGAAAAAATTGCAAAAATATATACATTTGTTTTATAAATTTTTTGTGTGGATTATAATAATAATATTCCCTCTGTCCCATAATGGATGTCTTGGTTACTGTATACATGATAATTTAGATTAACTATAATTAGTAGATATTTAAGAATGTATTAGTGAAAATAATTAATATATAATATAAATTATTATAGATTAAAATTAAAATAATTAATTAGTTTCGTTAGAATAAAAAAAAATAAAATTTTAAAATGAAATTAAGATGCATAATTATTTTTAAAAAAAGAAAGTGACATGAGATATGGAATAGACATAAACAGAAATATAATCATGGTAGGTGACACGGATGAAGTAATAATTTAATATTATAAATTGATACCATATACTCCCTTAGTTTTGTATCACAACAGTGGCAAGTTTTATTTATAATAAATTATATATATTTAAAATATATTTAATAAATATAAATATAATATATCAGATTCATTCAAAATCATTTTATTTTAATTTTTCTTTTTAATGAACATATATTTATATCTATATTTTAAAAAATTATTTTTTAATAAATTAATTCAAGTTAATTATATTTAAATAAATATATTTATTTGTATTATATAAAATTTTATTTTTGATATACTATATTTTATAAAGATATAATTTTTAAAGTATTTAACTATATATTGAAAAAAAATTAAGATCATATTATATTAATTATTAGTTTAAAACTACCCACAATTGAACAGTATCATTAGTATAAAATAAAATAATATCTCCATCTTATCGAAAGATTTGTCATTTTTCATTTTATTCTATGTCAAACTAAGGTTATTATTTTCTAATTTAGTAATTGTATTATTTACCTAACATAATAAATATTCTTCCAAGTTACACTATATTACACAATACTAATAGGGGTATTTTCGTTTTTTTCACTACAATCCATTATAATACTAATATTCAAAAATTTACGTGCAAAAAGTAAACAGAAACCTTGCACCGAGACGGAGTATTAGTATTATTTATTAATCTATTAAGCAAACAAATAGATATATTAATCTAGAGGATAATGGTGGAAGCCGAATTTTTTTTTTTTTTATATATAAATAATATATAAATAATACATCATTCATTCCAATATAATAGTTTTATTTATCATCTTTATTCGTTCCAAAATAATAGTCTCATTTCCATAAATAACCATATCACTATAAAACTACCGTTACTTTTTCATTATTATTACACAATTGTCACTACTTTCTACACTAATACACTCACAATGACAAAAAAGTTTTTTACTCGTACTTTTTACCCACTACCAATATAATACCAATATTCCTTAAATCCCGTACCAAACACAACCCAAACTATAGTTTTTTTGAGACGGAGGAAGTATATAATAATTTTAAATTTTTTTAAAAGAAATTACAAATAACTTTTTAGTTTGTTTTCTCTAATTTTATGTTTTTTTTAAATATTTTTAAATAATTAAAGTGTTTGAACCAAAACTTTTAAAATATTTGAATTAAATGTGTAATAATAATATTTATATTAAATTTATAGGAGTTACGAATTACTTAAATTTTTTTAAATTATACCAATATTACATAATAAAAACAAACAGGCTCATTCAAAATCAATTTTTAAGTACGGAGGGATCATTATATTATATTACCTTTCTCTCAAAATTATAGTTTGGGTTGTGTTTGACACGTAGGTAAAAAGTACAGGTAAAAAATATTTTATCCTTGTGAGTTTATTAGTGTAAAAAGTAGTGGCAATTGTGTAATAATAAAGAAAAAGTAAAGATAATTTTATAATAATATGATTATTTATGGAAATAAGACTATTATTTTAAGATTGACAAAAATGATAAATAAGACTGTTGTATTGGAACGGAAGGAGTATTCAATTTATTATTATTATTATTATTATTATTATTGTTATTTATATGTTGAGTAAAGACTTTTTAATTGTCAAGGTAATTTTCACTGTTTTTTATAAAATTATATTTTATCCCTCCAAACTAATTATGCTATTCTTTTTGTTGTTTATTAAATTTATGAATAATTTATTAATAATAAATAATTTTATTTATTCACAATTTTTATTATCTCTATTTTTACAAATAATAATGAATTTGTTATTATTTTTTTCACTTATTCTACAATTTTATTATTAATTTATTAATAACTTTTTTTATAATATTCCTACATTAGTTTTTACCTAACATATTTTTATATTAAGATATTATCATTTTTTAATCTCTGTTTTTAGATATTATCATTAGTATACTATTTTTTATTTTTTAGTTTGTAAAATTATATTCTCTAAATTCCATTTTTTTCGTTCAATATTTATATTTTCGTTCGTCTCATCTTATTTGTCCTTTTTTTTAGGAAATATAATTATACATTTTAATCATATTTTTTTAAATTTTATAATTTTTAAATATTAATTATATTATTTAGTTAGTTAATATTAATTTATAATTATTTTTATTATATAATAATTATTTTTATTAATATATTTATTAATTATATTTTACCTAAATTCGTATCTACGCAAATCGAATGCAAAATGTTAAACAAGAGAATAGTATTCAATAACAATAAAATGATAAAGTTGTGCATCTTTTGTAGCCCATCAACTTGGCCCAAATACAAAATATCTCCGTATAGTTGTATTAAGCAACATAAATAAATATTAATTTTTAATATAATACATAATAAAAAAATTAAATATTTGATATAATATTTTTAAAAAATAGTAAAATCTTTAAAAATGCTCCAACCAAATTAAATCTAAAATATATATATATATATTTTTTTTATCTCTGCCTAAAATATATTTAAGGAGTTTTTATTTTTCATTCTACCACATGCATATAAATATTACATTTTACTTTAAAAATATTAAAATATTAAAAACAATATACATATATTATAACTCTATTTATAATTTTTTTTTAAAAAAAATTATATTTCATTAATAGTTATTTTTTTCTAAATAAACATGGCATTAATACTTTCTTTTTATAAAAATATCAACTTAATATTTAATTTATTCTTATTGAAAAAAAAAAAAAAAACTTCTCTAAACTTTCAAGACATCTTTCTAAGACAAATCTTATATCTTTGTCAAATCAAAGCCCATTCTTACAAGAGCATTGTACAAGTCTTTCTTATCATATACTAATTTCATTTTTCATTATTTAAATTTATATTCATTTTTTAAAAATATAAATTTTTTCGATATTTTTACCATAAAAGTAAAAAATTATTATAATTTTTTCAATTTTACTTTATTCGTTTCAACTCAAAGTATATTTTCTATCATTTTTATTTGTGTCACTTCAAAGTACCTTTTATATTTTAAAAAAAGTAATCATACATTAATACTAAAATTTCATTAGCTACTAAAATATCATTAATTTTCATTTAAATTACATACAGACCACATACAATTATTTTATATATAAATTCAAAAGCCAAAATTGTCAAAATCTATTACACACTTTCACTGACAAATAAAATAATATTATTTTTTAATTTACTATAAAATTATAAAGAACCATTTGAATCGGGACGGAATGAGTATAATAATTTACCTTAATATTTTTTTTAAAAAAAAATGCAATATTCAATTATGTGTGTATATAGACAAAATGTAACTATCCATCAACTTTTAAACATGGCTTGTAAAGACTTCATTATGGATACAAAATCATTTTTACTTGTCTTATAAGAATTCTATGTTGGTGATCAATAATAATAATAATAATAATAATAATAATAAAGTTAAAATATTACCATAAAATATTTCACCATTTATAACAATTCACATGAATATATTATATTATATAAAATGAAACATATTCTTATAAATTTCAAAAGAAAATAATAATACTTTCTTCGTCTCATAACAAAGTATCTATTTTTTCATTTTAGTCCATCTCATAACAAAGTATCTATTTCATTTTTTAGTAACTGTACTATCTACCTAACATTACAAATACCCTTACAACTTACAATATATTACACAAATGTCATTATCTTTATATCACACATACTAATATAGTTATTTTAGTCATTTCTACTTATTCCTACTACATCCAAATATAATACTAATATTTCTAAAACTCCGTGCAAAAAACAAATATATATTTAATTATGGGACGGACGGAGTAAGTGAATGAAACAATTTTTTTTATATTAAAAGAAATCATAAAATTATATGTTGAATATGTTTCTTTGATGTAGTTTAGAAAATTTAGATTTGAGTTTGGTATTAAAATAATGTATGATGAGATATTTTTTTAAAAAATATATACATATTTTTAAAAAACGCAAAATTCAAATAGTAAATAATTAAAGTTTGTAGTTAAAAAAAATAAACCCACAGGGTTTGGTTTAGGTTCAAATAAAAAGTTTTATTATTAAATTCATACAATTTTTTTTCATAAAAATATATTTCTTCCGTCCAATTTCTATTGTCTTAAAGTATATTTGCACGATTTTTTAGGTGATTGTCTTTTTGTTATGAATTGACAAATTTGTCCTTAATTGTATGCCATAAATTAAAAGTAATAAATTAATGAAAGGTAAAAATGTAAAATTTGTGTTTAAAAATAAAATA